CCCTTCCAACCTAGAAGATTCTGTGATTCTGTGATTTTTGGCACCGTTTCGTGGCCCCCAGCAGAGCCTGGGGGGGGAAGGCAGGCTGGCTGGCCATCGCTGGGCATGCACCAGAAGATGCTCTGCCACACGCCGTGCCCTGGCTGCCTTCCCCTGCCTCGGCAGCTCTCATTTAATATTTACTGACTCCTTTCCCTGCCAGCCCTTCCTACACCCTCTCCTGCTCCAGAAGAACACGCTCGTCCTTCGGTCCAGGCCACCAGCAGGAAAAGTCATCACACCCTTGGCAAACCAGAAGCTGGGAGCTGCTCAGGACAGAGGGTTTGGTTCCACAGACAGCAGAAGGGTTCCCAGGATGGTCTGTGGAATGGGGCAAAAAAGTCCCAGCTCAGGGAGCAGCCACCCCATGGGCTGCCCCAGTTCCAGCCTAGGAAAGTGGTTTTAAGCCAGCCACAGCCCTCCCTGGAGCAGCACGTATCTCTCATCCCAGATGCTCACCAGCCAAAGGTCACATCCCGTCCCAAATCCCCACCAACACCCCAGCAGCAATTTCTGCTGAGTTTCTGGAGCTGCTGTCATTCTGCTTCTGCAGAGAGCACTGTCTGGCTGTCCCCAGGAGCTGTTTAAAAAGAGACCAAAACCCCACAAGCTGCCTATCACAGGAGTATTATTTCGGATGCTCGGGGTTGGCCAAACCCAGAGATGCTGCAGGGACCGAGCAGAGGCAGGAGGGGCCATTAAACCAGCGCTGACCCATGGCACAGGGTCCATCACTGGTCTCCATCATACCCCTCAACCAGCCCTGTCACCCCCTCTCAGCCCTTAAAATACAAAGGTTAATGGACGGAAGCAAGGGACAAGCGAGGACTTTGTAACCTGCTCTTCAGCTTACGCTCCAGCTGCAAAACATCTTCAGAGCTTTCCTACCCTTGGGAATGACACAGCAACCCCTGAACAAGACCCATTCAGCAGCAAGTCTGAAATTAATAGGGAAAGCCAAAGTATTTTTGTCTCCAAAAGAGCTGGGTCTCCCTCTCTTTTCATCGCAGAGCGACTCTGCAGCGAGCACCCAGTGAGGAGCATCGCCCAGCCCCGGGGATGGGTGAGGATGAGGATGATGAGGAGGTAAGAGCGTGCCTCGAGCAGCTCTTATTTCCTTCTCTCAGCTTCCTTCCTGGATGGAATTACTCACTTCCTCGGCAGGAAAAATCATTACAGAACCTGCTCCTCTGAGTTCATCCGAGGTTATTCTCCGCTTGCCAGCAGCGGGTTCCGAGGCCCCCACGGAGTTTCCTGCTCTCCCGTGTTGCAGGAGTTTGAACAGGAAGGATAAAGACTGGTTGCCAGACACACCTTTTTTTTTTTTTTTTTTTTTTTTTTCCTTTTTTTTTTTAAAAAAAACCTCTTTGCTTCAAAGCTCAGGGAAGGCAGAGGCAGCCCCTCTGCAGAACAAACGCTGAGCAGCCGTGGGGACATTTTCCTGTGTTGTAGCTCGATTACAATCAACATCACTTTTCCTATGGGCTCAGACACGGGTTGTCCTCATTCCCCTGCTGGCAAGGCAGATCATATCCCAAAACCTCTGCTGGTTCACCTGCCTTATTACTTAAAACAAGAGCTGCTTTTCTCTGGGCAGGGCGGGTGTGCACCCCCAAAATCTAACTGGGAAGAAATCAGAGCTCCATCCTTCAATGAGGCAGAGAATTGTGCCATTCTGCCTCCATGGAGACACTTATTTCTACACGTATGCTCGCACAAACCTTTGTTTGATTCAAGGGAAGATCTTACTCTGCTCTCAACATCTCAAAAGCCAAGTTTAAAGTTAAATATTTCCCCAGCTGGACGTGGCCGCAGCGTTTTGGGGAAGGAGCCGGCAGCTCTGCAGCATCTGCCTCCCCCATCAGGCAGCACAGCCCAGAGAGGGGGGTGGGATATGGGGCCCACGAGGATAACACTGCCTCTGTCTTCTGCAAAAATAGCATAAAATCATCTCATATACCAATATTTGCACATCCCTCGCCTGCCCCACGTGCAGATCTGAATACACAGTGCAGCCTCCCCGCACAGCTGGGGAGTAGGTACTTCCACGCCAGCTCTGCAGAGAATTCCACCAGAGCAAACACAACTGAGGAGGAAAATCAGCCACAAAACCCAAAAGCCTCAAGTTCTGGGTGTCTGCTTCAAGCCCGAAAAGTGCCAATCACTTCCCCCATGCTGGCAGCTGGCGGTCTCCTCCGAGACTGATGGACATCCCTTGCTGGGTCCCACCAGTCCTGAACCCAAAGGCTCACCCCTTTGGAGGGGGTGGAAAAGGGGAGCACTCAGGGGTCTCTAACCTCTGGCAGGGCTCCCTCGAGCTCAGCCAGTCTTAAAAACAACAGATCTGGTACCCAACTCTCACACATCTTTCCAAAACAGCTGGGGAGCTGCATCCCTTTACGAGTTGATGACCTCAAGGCCAGGTTGGAGGGGGCTTGGAGCAACCTGGTCTGGTGGGAGGTGTCCCTTCCCAGGGCAGGGGGTGGGACTGGGGGGGCTTTAAGGTCCCTTCCAACCCAAACCAACCTGTGATGAAGTGACCGAATCCCAGTTGGGGTGAGGAGCAGCTGGAGACCACACTCCAACGAGGGACCACAATGAGCCACCAGCCAAAATCCACTGCCCCCCCCCCGAAGCCCAATTTCCCAGCCTGTGAGCAATTAGTCCAAGGAGCCTCTTTCGAGGAAGAACACTGAGTAAGAGCAACGAGACAACAAATTAGCCATCACCCTTCAATCACACACAGCAATTACTGGGTTTTATAATGAAAAGTCCACTCAGGGCTTGGATTGCAGCTTTCTGGAACTTCTGCCAGTAGCATCCTTTGAAACACTAGTTTGGGCTTGATTTGAAATGTTTAGTACCATTTGGCAACCGGATAAATGAACATGACTCTGAAACCCCTTTCATGCTGCGATGAGGAAATCCTCCAAAAAAACGGAAAACAACCCACAGCGCTTCCCGGGAAGCCAGAGAAAAATCCTCCTGACACACAGCAAAAATAAATAAAAATAAAATAAAAAAAAAACAAACGAGAAGCAAAGAACAACAACAACAACCAAAAAACCCTACCCCGGTTCTTTTTAAAAGACATTTTTACAGCTTTTACTGCAGGCACAGGACGTGAAATGAGCACCCTTGGACACACCTCCCCCCAGGATAGCAGGAAATGGAGATTCTCACCCAAAAAGCATGGCACTTACGGTAGAGGCAGCCGGCGTCCCCCTCCAGCTGTGCCCAGCCCGGGCAGCACCGGTAGGTGGTCTGGTGTCTCACCCTGTACACCTGCCTGTACCCCGTGTAATAGGTCGTTCTGAAAGACAAAAGACAGATAATTCCTGCAGAACGAGGAAGCTGGGAAGGAGAGAAGTTGTAACTCTCACTGTGGCTGCGAATAAAATGAGGAATTTGGGTTTTCCAAGGTGCTGACGTTTTTTTCCACCTGGTCTAGCAATGATGGCTGATGCTAAGAAAATACTTCTTAATTTACTTTAATGGGGAACACAAGAGACTGGAGTGTCCAAGTCCTCATAACACCCCTTCCAGGCCTGGAGTTGGATAGTAAAAGCAGGGATTGATCTGAAGCATAAATAAACACAAGGGACACTTTTTTTCCCCCGGAAATTTGACGCTGTGTGTACGTGAAAATTGAAACACGGATAAAACTTTTGAAGCCGCTTTTTAAAAAGCTCCTTTGGCAGAACATGAAACTGCTCCACCAAAGCAAATCAGACAAACAACAACAACAAATATTTGGCGCAGCAGATGTGTTGTACATGTCCACCGAAAATATTTATCCTAACTCAGTCGAGTTGTTTGATTTCGTCTGAATGTTGCTACAAAAAAAAAACAAACCAAAAAACAACTAAATAACGGTGAACCATTGATTCCTGTGAAGGAAACCTTCGCTTCTCCTCTGTGCCAATCAGCATATGGATGCACAGCTGAGGAAAATAAAAGCAGACACTGATATTATTATTTTTTTTTTTTTGTAGGAGCTGTTAACAAATTATGAAGGAAATAGCTGTGTTCCAGAAGCAGCTGAGAAAGCAATTTGCAGCCACTCAGGCACCAGAAGAGCAAGGAATCAGGCTCAGGTCCATCTGGATCCTCTTGGTACCACGGGCCATCTCCCAGCCCAGGGCTTTCCCAGGGTGGCAGGGTACAGGAGGACACGACGAGGGTGGGATGATGCTCACAAGGATTAAATACAGGAGTTTTTCTGGAAAACACCATCTTTTTTGTCCAAAGGGTAAAACACTGCATGGAAGCAAAGAGCCGCCTCCATCTGCCCTGCCCAGGCTCAGAAATGAGGAGGAAAAGGTATTCCCAAGAAAAATCACTGTGGGACAGCTCAGAGATGCTCCTGGCCCCCTCTCTGCCCTGAACAGCCTCAGCCCCACGAGCCTCTCCAGGTTCCATCAGACACTTCAGGTCCTTAAGTCAGCCCAAGTGGGTTCTCGAGGAGATGCAAATATTTTGACAGCCCCAGTTGCCCGTGGATATCTGGATGCTGCAGGCTGGAAAGAACCACATAGGAGATACTTTATCTCCAATGTTTCTGTTTTCTTTTTGTGTTTTAAGGAGTCCCTGGCGCAGAAAATGTTGAATGAGCCAGAACTAATGGAACCCAGGCTTCAAAATCCTGCTGTGACCTGCTGCTGGAAAATCCACTGCCAGCCCCTGCGGGACAGCACCGTCATTCCTCCAAGTCTGGTCACCGGGGCTGAGAAAAACGACCTTTTGCTGTCACCTAATTTGGGAAAGTGATACAACCAGTAGCCAAACATTCCCTTTCCCAGGAAAAACAGCGGATGCTCAGCTCATCCGTCTGGGAGCAGATGCCGGCTCTCAGAGAGGGCAGGACCCAAGTCCTGGGGGTGCAAAGCAAGGTTTGTTCTGATTTTTAGGAAACGTTACAACCCAGTACTCTCGGCAGAGACACAAGCCTTATAAAAACAAACACCACTGGTTTCGGGATGCACAAACTGGGCAGATGGTGTCCTCTCCCTGCCCCCCATCCCTGGCTTGCCCCAGGCTCTGGTCCAGCCAAAAGCCACCTCCACGCTGGCAACAGCACTTAAAATTCAGGCAAAGTGATGGGGCTGCAGCAGCACAAACCTGCCTGGGAATTTTAAGACATTAGCTAAGGATGATGGACCCAGCAGGACCTGCTCCTCACCAGGCAGGTGGGCTGTAGTGGGAAAAGGAGAGCAAATGCTGGATTTTTCTAGTCGTGGCCATGAACTCAAAGCCACCAAGGCCAGTTTCAGGCCATGCCCTGTGTATTGGTGTCCTCTCCCTGCCCCCCATCCCTGGCTTGCCCCAGGCTCTGGTCCAGCCAAAAGCCACCTCCACGCTGGCAACAGCACTTAAAATTCAGGCAAAGTGATGGGGCTGCAGCAGCACAAACCTGCCTGGGAATTTTAAGACATTAGCTAAGGATGATGGACCCAGCAGGACCTGCTCCTCACCAGGCAGGTGGGCTGTAGTGGGAAAAGGAGAGCAAATGCTGGATTTTTCTAGTCGTGGCCATGAACTCAAAGCCACCAAGGCCAGTTTCAGGCCATGCCCTGTGTATGAGGGATCTTGAAGCCATTAATACACTTTCCAAGCCCCACGCTGCCAGAGCCAGGTCCAACTGGAGCGGGTCCAGCATCCCTGGGGATGAAGACACCACGTGCTTCACTGCCCTCGACTGCCCAGCACCAGGGAGCTTGGCAGGAGCTCCTCCATCCATCGGAACAAGCTGCTGCGAGGGGAACTCCCCAGACAAGCCTAGAGCGAGGGGATATGGGACAAAATCCCACCTGAGGGAAGTTCTGCTGATAGTCCTTCTCCTGCACTTGCTGTCAGCATTCCCCAGGTGAAATCCCCGGCAGCACCTCTGGGCTTCACCTCCTGTTTTCACCAGGATCAGAGCTTTAACACCAGCCTGTTCTGATGTTTATAATGAAGCACGACAGAAAGTTTTTCATTTCAGTTCCTTGATTTACAACGTCAAACCCATACATTAAAGAGCCAAAGGGACAGCTGGGGCTGAAGAGTTCCCGGCCTTTGAAGTGGAAGCAGACAGGGCACCCATCATTTCAAAGTCCTCTCTTTAAAACATAGTCAAAAGACGGACTCTGTTTGCTCCTTTATTACCACTGCTCAGATATCATCACCCAGATAATTACTGGCAATTACAGGTTGGGAGGAATTCCTGAAGTCAAGACTTAAAAGCTGTCTCCAGTCCAAAGATGCTTCTTTGAAACTACTGCTATCATCGTTACTCTGTGAAGGCTTGTAAGTGCCTAATGAGGCCAGGAGAGCCGGTGGAGCACAGAAGATTGGGCACAGGTAAGAAAAGTCCATTATTTGGTCTGCTGCCCATGTTCAGAGCCCTCTCCCAACAACTCCTCCCTGCTTGGTCTCCCAGCTCCCTGTAGGACCAGTCGGTGACTCAAGAGACACCACAATTAGCTGAACGACCACATCAATTCTCCCTTTGGAGAACACCCAAACGTCTTTCCTTCACCTGTAGGTCAGACCCTGGTGGGCTGTGGGCTCTTCTGATGTGGGCCTGGGCATGGTCCCACCACAGCAGCCACCCGTCCTCACGGAGCAGAACTTGGTCAATTTTTTCAGCCCACGCACAACAAACCTCACTTGGACTCGGCAACTGCCCCTCAGCTCTGGAAAACTTTATGGAGGCATCAAGATTTTTGAAGCTTAGACATCTAAAGGTACAGGAAGAACACACGTGCTGTGATTGATTCATGTCATTAACACGGCGTGATCACAGGGAACAGAAGTAATGCCTTGTCACAAGACTGGGAACAGCTCACCACAACGACAAGGTTTCCTTGGAACAAAAGCAACCTATCTTCTCTTTGGGAACTCCTTAACAGCTTAAAACCTCTCTCAGCACCACAAAGATGGCAGGGTCAGAAGCCCAGAGATGCACTTGGGGTTTACAAATCTCTCAGAGTCTCCTGGCATTAGCCAAGAAAAAGATCTAATTAAATAGCTCTACTTTTTACAGCTAATTGGTGGGTCCAGAGCCACATCTCTGCCCAAATCTCTCTGGTTGCATCCAACCCTACATCAATGGCTTTGGTGCCTTCATACCAGACCTGCTGAGGGCTGGGTACCACACACTGGGCACTTCTCCTCCCTCCCTGGAGAGCCACTGGGGACCAAGGATGCCACCTTGGCTGGTCACCAAGACCCCTCAGAGGGTACCAAGGGGTTTTGAGGTCCCACACCGGACCACAGCCTGGGCAGCAGGATGGGCACACAGAGGTGGTCCTCCCAGAGCCCACCACCACAATGGGCACATGCAAAGAGACCAAAAAGCTCGTTTCCCCACCACTGGTGGTGAGAAGGAGCCTGTTGCCATCAGGCAAGGAGCAGGGAAGGAAGGAAGAGGCCATACCTGCGCTCGTAGCCCGCACACCACCGGTGGTCCCCACAGTCCTGCTTCCAGACCTTGACGGTGCGGGTGAAGGCGCGGGTGCAGGGCTGCCGGTGCCCCACCATCGCCAGCTCCTGCTCCGCGCAGACGTGGGGCCTGCAACACACAAACAGGGGGGGTCTGCCTGCTGCCCAGCTCCTTTTTAGCCTTAAAAAGAGAGAGGATGGATGAGAAAAGAGGGAGCAGGCACAGGATGCGGCAGCACAATAACTGCTGTGTTCCACCACTCTGCCCACTCAGTTAATGGAGGTCACATACGCCTTCTGTCCCCCCGGGGACTGTTTTCCTGACTGTTTTCCTTACAAACACCAAAGATAGAGAATCATAGAATCATTCAGGTTGGAAAAAACCCCCGGGATCATCGAGTCCAATCATCAACCCCACTCTACAAAGCTTTCCCCTACACCATATCCCCCAACACCACATCTAAACGACTCTTAAACACATCCAGGGATGGTGACTCAACCACCTCCCTGGGCAGCCTGTTCCAGGGTCTGACCGCTCTTTCCATGAAGAATTGTTTCCTAATGTTCAGTCTAAACCTACTCTGTTGCAGCTTGAAGCCATTCCCTCTCGTTCTATCACTAATTACCTGGGAGAAGAGACCAGCACCAACCTCTCTACAGTGTCCTTTCAAGTAGTTGTAGAGAGTGATGAGGTCTCCCCTCAGCCTCCTCTTCCTCAAACTAAACAGTCCCAGCTCCTTCAATCGCTCCTCATAAGATTTATTCTCCAGGCCCTTCACCAGCTTTGTTGCCCTCCTCTGCATCTTCTGTGTTTAGGGGAAAAAAAAAGATTATTCTGCCACTGCAAATGATACATAATTTTATTATTACTGCTTTAAGTCAGAATTCAGTTTGGTCTCTTAGATGTTTTCTCACTCAGAGCTAAGGGCTGCAAAACTAATTACAGGAAATCAAGTGAACATGTTTAACCCAGTGAGTAAGAAAATAAGAAAAATACCATTTGAAGTTTATTTCTTTTCTAATCCTAACTCTCTCTCACCAAAGTGAGCCAGTAGTTTTAACTCAGAATGAAGAGGGAAAGGTTTGCCCCTGACTTAATAAGTCCTGAGCCGTTCGTTATTTGGGGCGGCTGCTGCTGCCTCCAGCTCTTCAAAAGGGACCTGGAGTTTTCAGAAAAAAAATTACTTTCTATAAAAGAAGTTAAAGTAAATAATTTGGACGTGGTGAAGCATAGAGATTGCAGCTGGCATCTGGCTGCTGCAGGACGTTCAATTACCCGGCTGTTCCAGCCCGCCTGGTGATGCCTTGGGGATTTACTGCCCAATTTCCTTCCCCCCCTCCCCAGCTTTGCTCCGAAATCTCCTCTCCTCACCCCCACCTCTGGCTTGCAGAGCTCCACACACGTCCCTTCCCCAGCACGAATGGGGACTGGTTTATTCCCCTGGTTGATTTTGTGTTTCTGTACTGAGGGCCAGGGGCTGGTGCCCAGTGGGATCCCCCTGGGGCTCACCCCAAAAATGTCCTGAGAGGAGCCAGAAGAACAAGGCTGGCAGCAGCACCGCTTTGCTGGCATTTATCACAGCCAGGAAAGGTCCTTGTGTGCCCCAAAGAGCGTGTGTGTGTGTGTAAGAGGCAGCATCAGCAGCGCCCTGTGGGAAGCCACAGCACTTTGCTTTTCCCCGAGGCTTTGGCACACATCACCCCCGCCCCGGGGTCGCAGCCAAAAAGTCCTAAAAGCACTCTCATCAGAGATTTTGTGCTCTGGCCCTGACATGGGGAGAAAAGGCATCTCCTGGCCAAACCTCCACACGCTGAAAGGGACCCCTTTTTTCAACCCCAAGGCTGGGGGGGGGCAGTGGGAGCAGCCCGGGGTTAGGGCACCACGCAACGCTGGGCTCATTGACAACAGGAATTAGAGCAACCCCCCCCCCTCCCCGGCACCCAGAGATCATCTTCTGGCAGGAGCCCAGATTTGCAAGGAAGTTTTCCAAAGAAGCCAAATAATTAACAGCAAACTGTAACTGTAAAATTTAATTAAAAAGAACGGACTACGTGCTGCTGGAGGAACTGCAAAAAGGGGGGGGGGGGGGGAAACAGGGGAATGGGAGGGGGGACAAGAAAAAGAGCAGGTCTGTGAAGAAAGGTCAAACTATTGACACAGCCATCACCTCTGGAGCTCACACAACAGCAGCATTTCAGCTAAAAACAGCGAGTTACCTCCTGCGAGCAAAGACTACCCAGATTTTCAAATTTCTGTTCACCTTTACGTACATCTGGTACTAGGTAAAGAAAGAGAGACCAACCCTCCCTCCCCTCCACTGCTCCCTTCCCCCTTGATTTTAAAATATTGTATTTAGCTTTGGCTTTCCAGTTTCCCTGCCCTACAAACACACACAAACACCCCCCAGGTTCTCTTTTCCTGCTACTTACATGTGGGGCTGAAGTTCGTTGCCAGAAGCAAGAGAAGAGACTGGCAAAGTGAGGATGAAGGAGAGTGCCACCGCCTGAAACTCCATGGCCAGGGCTCCTCTTCTCCCCCCGGGGGGGGTCCAGGAAATCCCACCACCTTCCCCAGCACCACCTGCCCCCCAAAGGAGGATGCTCCTGGCTACCTCCTGTTCCCAACAGGACGGGGTGTCCCCCTCTCCCTCCAGTGAAGAACGATGCTTTTGGAGCAAGGAGGAATTCTTGCAGGGGGGGGAGAGAGCAGATTTATCACTCCCGGGTGCTTCCTCCCATCTGGGGTCGGTTCAGCAAGTTTCTTCCCACCTCGGGGAAACGTGGATTTTCACTGGGTTTTTCCCCCCAAACCGAACCCGGCTTCTTCCGCTCCTCTGCTCACGGGGAAATGTGCTGAAGTGACTTTTCCTTCTGGTGGCTGCTTCTCCACAAAGCCCTGAGCCCCGGGGGCTCACAAGACCTGGGTCCTGGCCAGCAAGGAAGCCCCATGTGGGTTCGGCTGGTTTGGAGCCACGATCTGCTCCTCAAGGCGATAGGAAAACCAGCACTCGGGAAGGGGCAGGATGCAGGAGGGATGCTCTCCTGCACAGCGGGAATCCCACCTCCCCGGAGGGGTTTTCCAAAAGCAAGCAGTGCTCCTTTACCCCAGGCATGGGGTTGGAGCCATCCTCCTGCCACAGCTCCCCACCTTCCTCCGGAGACGGGACCCGCCACCTCCTGCACACACACACCCCCAAAAGCAGCTTCCCCCCATTCCCAGGGAGTATGGGACCCACCACCTCCTGCACACACACCCCCCCCCCAAAAGCAGCTTCCCCGCATTCCCAGGGAGTAACAAAAACTTTCCTCCTGCCTTTCCCAGGTCCAGCTCCTTTCCCTCACATGCTCCCTTGTTTCTCTCCTTGCTGACAGTCAGAAATCCCTCCCACCAGCGTGTCCAGCCCAGGCGAGAGGAGGGGGAAACCCTGCCCAACAGCAGCAGGGAATGAGTTGGGTCTGTTCCTCCAAAGGCAGCTCTTTTGCACTATCCCAAGGCCAACTCTGGACACACCACCCAAAATCCCTTTTCCAGCAGCTCTAAAAACATCCCCCCAGAGATTTAATCTCAGCTCTGTTGCCCAGGGGCAACCCTGGGCAGAGCTGGCCTTTGGCAAAAATGGGGTGTGAGGAGGGGGCTTGGGTGAAAAGTGGAAAGGGAGAGGACTTCCAAGGGGGGGATGATCTTCTGAGTGTCAAAATGAGCTCACAAGTGCACATTCTGCCCCGGGAGTCAGAGAGGGGAGAAGTGGGACCCACTCAGATTCTACTTTGAGCGGCGCTGAAGAGGAGGGGGTCGGCAGCATCCCACCCCCACCTCCCCTTCTGCTGCCTCAAACAGAATGGAGAGGGGGGAATACGAGGCAGGATCATTATAAAGCAAGCACTTGGCTAAAACAACCACAGAACTCGGGTCTTTTAGCCCTTCCCTGGAAAAGCCACACGATTTCCAGTATAGAAGCCGCAAGGGGCCACCAAGGCAGCCCCCAGGCTCCTGCAGCTCTTGAGGAGCATGGTTTCTCCCCCTTCCACCTCCCTCCACGGCCAGGGGAGCACGGTGAGCAGGAAACCAGCAGAGCCACACAGCAGCCCTGCCCAAGAGAGCAGAGAGAACCCAAAATCTGTCAAACACAGGGAGGGAAGATGGTTAGAACAAGATGTTTTAAGGAGGAGGAGCAGGACGCATCCTTAATACTGATTTCTGGGAGGGAAGAAGGATGAGAAGGTTTGGGTGGTTTCAGTGCCCACGCCGTGCTCCTGTTTCACCATCATATCAAGACTAAAGCCACTACAAGCCATGCCCCAAAAATTGGTACTTCTGGAAGAAACCGAGGCAGCTGCTTTTCACAGCTTAACCCTTCCCAAGCCACAGCAGTTGCATAAATCACTCAGATAAGAGAAAGGAGCAGGTAAGAGGGACTAACGCTGCCACTTGGAAGCATCTGCCAGGCCTTAGAGGTGGGAATTCAGCATCTTCCAGTGTTCCTGGAGGACAAAGGCAACTACCTAAAGATATTTTATAAGGATGGAGAGAGTTCTGGGATAGAATAAAATCAGGCCTCCATTTTCCTCTCAGAACTTAAGAAGTGAGTACTTTTCCTGCAGTAGGAAACCATTAGGACTGCTCCCGGCGGGAATTCAGCATCTTCCAATGTTCCTGGAGAAGAAAGGCAACTACCTAAAGATACTTTATAAGGATGGAGAGAGATCTGGGATAGAATTAAATCAGGCCTCCATTTTCCTGTCTGGAATTTAAGAGGGAGTACTTTTCCTACAGTAGGAAACCATTAGGACTGCTCCCAGTTACTCCATCAGTGCTGACAACCCAGAGGTGTTCCTTCCACCCAGATGATCCTCAAACATGGCATTGGGAATGCGGAGCTGGGATTTATAGGGCATCCAGGTTGCTCCATCAATGCTGACAACCCAGAGGTGTTCCTTCCACCCTTACTCCATCAGTGCTGACAACCCAGAGGTGTTCCTTCCACCCAGATGATCCTCAAACATGGCATTGGGAATGCGGAGCTGGGATTTATAGGGCATCCAGGTGGGATGAGGCACCAGCACATCCCAGTCCCTCCAGCCACAGGGAGCTGTGGACTGTGGCTCCCTCTCCAGGAGCTCGGGCCCCAGAGTGAATCCAACACTGGGATTCTTCTGGAAGAGTGGATTTAAAGCAAGAAATGAGGCTTCTGGTTAAAACAGGCTCCCGGGAGCAGGGGCTGCAGAGAGCACGGCAGAGAATTCCTGAAACACATGGGAAAGATGGATTATCCGAAACCCAGCGCCGCCCGCGAAGGCAATTTAACGTGTTTTCAATTTGGTACCATTTCCCAGCCTGCCAAAGATGTCATCCTCTGGCTCGGGGTAAAACAGCCCTGGAAAGCGGTCAAAGATCCAACCCCAGCAGCGCTGATAATATCTGTCATAACGCCAGAGACCACAGAAATCCAAACATCACCTCGCCGTGCCTTCCCCAGCCTTACTCACTCTCTGCCACGGGGAGGGCTGGGCACGGGATGGGATTTGGGGCTCTGACCCCCCAGTTCTGCTCCATCACCTTCCTGAGCATCCCCTGCCACATCCCACCCACAAACTGGTACGATAAGGAGGTAAAGGGAAAAGGAAAAGGGGGAAAAAAAACCCACAGACTGAGACACAGACAGTCCAATAGAACAATATGAAAAATAGCAGTAATAATAAAAATAATAACTATGGTAAAAGAATATACAAGCCACTCTCACCAGCCAGTAAATTGGTGAATGGGCACCAATGGTGGGTACCCACACCCTGGGTACCCCCACTTCTGCCCCCAGTGTGGCATCTGTGGCACGGGGTGTTCTGCTGCCCCTTCCCTCCTTCTCCATAACATGGGAAGCTGAAAAAAAAGCCCTGGAAAATATAAACACCAGGCCCAGGCTGGGCAGCAGCTGGGATGCTTGGCCAGGCCTGGGCTCCCCCCCCAGCGCCCACCTCCCTGTCCCAAACCCGCTCTTTGGGATAAAAAGTATCATAAAAATCAGCTTGAAAAATGGAGGGAGGAGCTTTGGGGCAAGGCGGCTGTTTTTGCTATTTCTACATAATATTAATAATACCTGGACAACATGAACTCATCTTTTATCTCATTACGAACCCCGGGGCGACCACTCGCCACAGCGGCCGTAAGGAGCTCCTGCGGGGCCGCCCGCCGGCGCGGAACGGGCGCGGGGAGGGGGGTGCGGAGAGGGGCGGGAGGGTGCGGGACAGAAGCGAGGAAGTGCGGGAGGAGGGGGGAAAGAGGGGATGCGGAGGTGGGAGAGAAGTGGCGGAAGGGGGTGGAGCGGG